ACAACATTGACAACACTGAATTAATAAGAACCACTCGCCTAGCAAAAGATAACGTCCTGCTTTTCCAGCCCACCAATTTAGCTTTAAACTTTTCAATAACAGGTTCCCAAGTCGAAATTCTTCTAGGATCTGCACCTAACGGAATTCCCAAATATTTAAACGGCAATGCACACACAGAACAACCACCCAAACTAGCTAGTTGTTTTAATCTAGCTTCTTCCACTTTCACCCCTGCTAAGCACGACTTTCAAAAATTAATGCTTAAACCCGAACCCAATTCAAAGCATCTCAAGATTCTCTTAACATTGACCATACTTCTTTGATCTGGACGAATGAACATTATCGTATCGTCCGCGAATTGCAAATGAGAAATACTTATGTTTGGTGCCACATTTTCAATACCTTCAATGAATCCTTTGCGAACAGCTCCTTCTAACAAAAGATGAAGAGCCTCCGTTATCATTATGAACAAAAAGGGGGACAATGGATCTCCCTGCCGTAAACCTCTGTACATTTTAAATTCTTTTATTTGAAAAAAATAGAGATTTAAACGAAAAATAATATGAATATGAGTATTACTGTAATTATCCTTAAATAAGTAAGATATAATTACATTATTTTGGAGTTGAGTATGACTAAACCCTAAATCCAACCCAATCTATAGATATTCTCTAGAAAAATTTGACCTAACTCAAACTCTATCTTTTAAAAAAATATATAACTCAATAAAATTGAGCGAATCAAAACTCATCAGATTCAGACTCCATTCTCATCCCTACTTATGTGTATCAGTTACGGATCTAAAAATTTAAGAATGGGGTCCAAAATTTTTAATATTTTTTCTTAAAAATAATGAATATGAAAAAAAAATATTTTTCTCATTTTCTCTTAACATATTAAACTAAATTTCACATTTTTTAAAATGTGTGTATATGTATGCTACATGAATTTTCTCTTAAAATTTTTAAATTCGATTCGTTTCTTTTTGTCGGATTGCTACAAATCGATAATGTTTCTGCATGCAAGAAGAAATCGTGTTTTTCTCTCAATGGATTTAGGGTTATATATATATATTTTCAAGTTTTACATTTGTGTGTGTGCATATATGCTTTTTGGAGATAATCTCCTTATTATGTGCATGCAGTACGAGTACTCATTTTTTGTTGACACGATCAGCGCGAAGGCAGTATAGTAGCAATGTTAGAAAGCATTGGGAGCAAGGGATCGGTGCAAGTATATTGGACTGTGGTTAAAAAAAATCTAATTGCATGCTTTACTCAGGTGATGAGGTTGTCTTCGGGTTGTCTGTAAATCATACACACGTATCCTCAGCGGTGGAACTTGACGTAAAAGTTTAGGGGCCAACTCAAAACTTTAAAAATTTAAAGGTTTACATTAAAATTTTAAAAAATGAGAAGGGTTTAGTTTATATTTTTTTCTAAAAAAGATAGGGTCTAACTAAACTTTTTGAAAATTTGAGAGGTTTAATGAGAATTTTTAAATATTATAGGAGGGGGTTTAATTAAAAAAAAATTTAATATGAATTTCTAAAATTTTGAAAGGCCAAATTATTATTTTTTTTAATTTTCAAGGGTCTAAATTATGATTTTTAAATTTTAGAAGGTTCATGGCCCCACTAGTCCTTTGCCCCTGTATATCCTTTTCTTGGGCTCGAGGGAAAGTTGTTATGATAGCATATCTGATGCTTCTAGTACAGGCTATTTAAGTTTAATTCAGCCTCTGATGAGTAGTAATTCGAGATTGTGTTGTCTTTACGCAGATTGCACACTTTTGTTATGAATTAATTTGAATTAAATATTACATTATTTCTTTTAGTTTCGATATTATTGTAGTATATCTCGTAATTTACGAATATATTTGATTAAATATAGTATTAATTAATTATTTACGAATTTTATTTGAATACTTTATTTTTCTTAATATATATATATTTTAGTTTTTCTCGTATGAAAAACTCTTTATAAATACCGTGTAAACCTATTAGGTTATATACAACTCAAGAACTTTTTTTTCCTCCCTCGTTTCGGTGATAACCTCAGGCAATTGTACTTTTTCGTCATGGATTGTTATATTTTTTATTTATTAAAAATATTTACTTTAAATTGTATTTTTTATTTATTAATAAAATATTTATTTAATTTTTGTTTTTTTTGTCACGGATTGTTATACTTGTAACAGGATGGTGACGCTGAAGATGAAAGCCAACTTAGATTTTCTTCGAACTGTTAGTTCATATGGTTATGTAAATGCTAACATTTGGGGCTTTAATGTCCGCAGGAGATTTCTGAGTGAAATTAGTACTTTTAGTTATTCATGTAGGTTTCGGTTCAGAATAGTATGGAATGCCAAGGGCTTAAAAGTTTGTGCATCAAGGGCCTGACCCTTACAGATAAAAGTAAGCTTTCTTTTAACAAATATGTTAAGCTGTTTTCTCCCTAGCTAGTAAAATTGCTCCCTGTGTCGTATTTTTCGACGAGGTTGCTTATTCGTGATGCTCGATTAGAATTTTAGTTTGGGGGTTATGCCAAAGTCATTGTGATGTTCCTCTCATCCCTGCACTGAACTATATAGGTTGATAGCATGTTGAGCCAGAGGGAGAATTCCCAGGAGCACGAATCCATGCGCAAGATGAAAACTGAATTCATGATGAACTGGGTCTGGGATGGTCTACATACAAAAGACACCGAACGGGTTCTTCTACTTGCTGCCACTAATAGGCCTTACGACCTCGACGAGGCTGTCATTCGAAGGCTGCCGCGCAGGTGAAGTATCATTTCGTTCCTTCTTGGATAAGAGAAACAGACATTCACCTTTGAGTTACACATGTGCTTCTTTTAACTCGCTGGTACCATATACTAATGGTTTTGCAATTTTGGTAGATTGATGGTGGACCTGCCGGATGCTGCAAATAGAGCAAAGATACTCAATGTTATTCTAGAAAAAGAGGACGTGTCCTCTGATGTCGATTTGGACGCTGCTGCGAGTATGACGGACGGATATTCCGGGAGCGACCTTAAGGTTACATTAAACTTGGACTGCTTTTTTCCTTCTGATGATTTAGATGACTGGTTGTTTTTTGTTGCAGAATCTGTGTGACTGCTGGGCACTGTCCAATTCAAGAGATTCTTGAAAAGGGGAGAAAGATAATGAAGATAGACTTGATGAAATTAGTACATTAGTCTGAATTTTCGACATCGATGGAAGGAACAAGCGGCTGCTCGAGCCCAAGGCAAACCTGCACCTCCTTTGAGCAAGAGTTCCGACCTACACCCTTTAAACATGGGGGACTTTAAAAACGCTTATAAAAGGGTACATGCCAGCATATCGTCGGAGTCCGTAAACATGAGCGCTCTGCGGCAATGGAACGAGCTCTACGGCGAGGGTGGTTCGAGACGAAAGGAGGCTCCCAGCTACTTCTTGTGAAGGCCTTCTTCCTAAAAACTCTTCTCTACTTGTAAATGCATGCAAGAAAGTGATTTTTGTCTCTAAAAATAGAGTTTTTAGTTGCATACATACATCTCACTTCGCTAGCCAAGTTCAGCTAAAGGGATTTGTGAAGCAACAAATATCATTGGGGGAGAATAATAATATCGTAAAGGAATATTTAATGTGTTATTTTGATTTTTTTAACTCGTACTTAATTGGGGTAGAAACCCGATTTAAATGTAGGGTAAAAATTTGCATCCGACCAATCCAACACAAATATAAAAAAGTTTTTTTTATTTGGTAAAATAAGTGTTTAATTGAAAAAATATATAAAATTTTCTTTAAATATGTGAAATAAAATTATACCATTAGGTTGATTAATTTTTTTTCAAGTTTCTATATGACTTTATCTTATTCTTCACAAAATTTGACCTAATTCGAATTCAATTTTTTTTTTAGAAAAAATTGACCCTATAAAATAGAAGGGTCAAACATCATCATATTCAATCAAATTTTTATCTTATGTTAGGCAATAAGGTGTTTGGGTTGTGTAAACTTAGTATTTAAATTTTGGGTAAATTACATCGTTTTTCACTGAACTTTACTTTTTTTCTTATTTTACTCATTACTTTTAATTTTTTTCTATTTTGCTCACTGAACTTTATAGATTGAATCATTTTGCTCACTCTGTCATTAATTTTTGAACAGTGTTATGATGTGTCATTTTTATTATTATTTAATCGTCAATAACATCGTTCCTCATTGAACTTTGCTCTCTCCCTTATTTTGCTCACACAATTATAAAAGAAAAACAGAAGGTGGCTGGATGCCACCGCTAGCCACCGTCGACCGCAGTGTATGGTGGCTGTTCAGTGTCAAAATTTATGAGTATGTTCGTCTCGACACCTTGAGTTCAAATTTGATGGTTGTTTCACCAGAAAATGTCTCAAAATCCATGAATCTTGACTGAAACGTTTCGACTTCCTCACTTTCAATCTTCGATTCGTGGAATTCGGAGCAAGTTCCAACAAAATGAATGTCGAATTCAGACTCAAGGTGTCGAGGCAAAGCGACCCATGAAATTTGGGACCGAACGTCCACTTACTACGGCGGTCGATAGTGGCATCCGACCACCTTCTGTTTTTATTTTTATAGTTGGATGAGCAAAGTAGTAGATGGAGTAAAGTTCAATCAGGAACGGTGTAATTTTCCCTTTATATTTCAATTGTTTTATATTAAAATAATAAAAATGACACATATTCACACCATTAAAGAGTTAACGACAGAGTGAACAAAATGATTCAATCTGTAAAGTTTAATGAGTAAAATAGAAAAATTGAAAGTACACTGAGCAAAATTGGAGAGATAATACAGTTCAATGAGAAGCAGTATAATTTACCCTTAATTTTTATTTAATAGAATATATATTTAATTAAATATATATAAAGTATTTTATGATAATTAACTATGAATATATATAAAAGAAAAATATATTATTATCTTATACTATTAAATAGGACGAGGACAAAACAGCGAATTTATAGTTAAAGAAGAGCTGGAAAAGGCCCTTGCTTGAGTTTCAAGCATTGGTGGCTCCGAAGTCTCCCAACCAAACACCAAAATCTCAAACCTTAAAAATCTGACTTAAATCTCAAACCACTGTTGAAACCCAGAAATCCTTTGGGGCAAAAACCAAAAAAAGGTTAGAGAAATAGAAAATGGCGAGCAATTCAATCAACTTGGAAGATGTACCGTCTGAATCGCTGATGACTGAGCTTCTTCGCCGCATGAAATGCGCCACCAAACCCGAGAAGCGTCTCATCCTCATCGGTACCGTCTCTTCTTTGCTTTGTTAGTCTCGCGTTGTTTTGGATTTGATTTTTCGTTTTTTCATCTGCGAAGTTTGGTTTTTTTGTTGGTATTTTTAGATCCGAGAATTGGTTGAATTTGGTTTGCCTTAGGGGTTTTCTTTATTCTTTTAGATGGATCCACGGAAACGTAGTTCCAGTTTTTAGATCTCCCAATCCAATCGAGAATTTGAACTTTTTGTTACTTCATCATACAATTTATGTGAATAAAAATGTCTGTAAAGGCAAAGTGGGAACATTGGCCTTTGGGAATAGTATGGCGAAATCCGACCTTCTGAATGGTCGAACTGGCAGTGGTTTTCATCCTTAAAAAAGTGGATCCACCCCTGTATCTCTCTATGAACCAAATTGGGGGATTTTTAATGACTAATTACAATTTTATGGCCGGTTGAGTTAATCGGTCAATACCTCTTTTCTTATGCCCCATTGCCATATTTGGGGGATTTATAATGTTTTCTCAAGGATTTATAATTTCTGAGCTTTAGAAAATGTAAACAAATAACCATTATTTACATTTAGGGGGGAAACATGGATCTCTCCTTGAACAGACATTATAACAATGAACATTGGATAACTGGTTTTTTTTCCTTTGTTCCTATTATTCCTTTGTAAAGACTATAGATTTGTTCTCACGTGTTTCATATGTGTGTGTGTGTGCTTTTTTTTTGCAACAAAGCCTAATTCTCTATTTCTTTATGAAAAAATGAAATCAATTTTCTTGCCGGTTATTCATGACCTACTAAGAAGTAAGTATGCCGTTAGTGGTGAAGTTTCAGGATGCACACTATTTAGTGGTAGCCGGTATTTGTCTATTATTGTTTAGCATTTTTTTAGAATGATGGCATGTTTTTAATCATTGTGGAATCTTATGAGTGGCAGGTCCACCTGGATCGGGAAAAGGTACTCAATCACCAATAATCAAGGATGAGTACTGCCTGTGTCACTTGGCCACTGGTGATATGCTGAGATCCGCTGTCACTGCTAAAACCCCTCTCGGTATTAAGGCCAAGGAGGCTATGGATAAGGTCAAATTCGTTTCCACCATTTGTCTAATTTTTTTTAATTGTTCCACTTCTTAGTAGGTTGGTAATGAGTAATGATTAATGAGGTGTTTTGTGAATGTTCCTTAGGGAGAGCTTGTTTCCGATGACCTAGTTGCTGGCATTATTGATGAAGCCATGAAGAAACCTTCATGTCAAAAAGGTTTCATTCTTGATGGATTTCCAAGGACTGTTGGCCAAGCACAGAAGGTGTTTCCTTCTTTCAAATCTTTATCCACCTTGTGTTTTTAAAATTTGTATGTATACCCACGCTTATCATGTATTGTTGATCTTTGGCTTGCAGCTTGATGAAATGCTTGAAAAGAAAGGAGTTAAAATTGATAAGGTGCTTGATTTTGCAATTGATGATTCGATCTTGGAGGAGCGGATTACTGCTCGCTGGATCCACCCTGCTAGTGGTAGGACCTACCATACAAAATTCGCACCTCCTAAAGTTCCCGGCGTTGATGATGTAAGTCGAACAATTTTACTTCAGTTTGTCCCATAAATTCAGTCTATTGCCAAAGAGCCTTTTCACCTTTTCACCACTTGATGAAGTTGACTGGGCGAGTGGTACATTAAGCAATTTTTCGTAAGACAGTTCATATGAACTAATCTTATGCAAATTTATTGGTGACTTGTTTTCTTCAATCTCTTAACTTAACCTTTACGTTTATATAACATCATTACCGATTTTCCCAAAGTAGTTGCAGTTATATTAACGATCATGAATTCTTGTTTTACTTCTCTTCAAGGTGACTGGGGAGCCTTTGACTCAACGTAAAGATGATACTGCGGAAGTTCTCAAGTCAAGGCTAGAGACATTTCACAGGCAAACCGAACCGGTATGCTCTCTCTATTCTCAACCTTGTGCAAATTGTGAAAGACCAACAATATATCTTTACGATTAGTTTTTACAAGTTAGTTGGAATTGCATAGTTACTATAATAGCTGCAACGCATGATACTCAAAAGGGAGATAAATGGGTTATAAGTAGTGGTGTAAATGAGTCAAGTCAAGCTCAAGCTTTAAGAAGCTCAAGTTCAGCTTGAAATTCTAGGCTCAGCTTGAGCTCGGTTAAGCTTATTATCGAAGTGCGAGTTAGATATGAGGTAATGATTGAAGTACTTGATCTTGCTTAATTAGGCTCATTTGCCCAAAGGCTCGATTCCCATGCTTGACTTTAAAGTCGAGCTCAAGCGCTTTAAAGTCAAGCATGGGAATCAAGCATTTAGGAGCAAGCTCAAGTACTTCAATCTTTACCTCGTATCTGAGGGAACACGTTTATTATAAACTCATAAATGCTGTTTTATTTTTAAACTTGTATGAACTCCATGATGTTAATTAAATGTTTTATGAATTGCCATTAACATTCTAGATGGTGTGTTATTCAAAACTCAGGTGATAGATTATTATTCCAAGAAGGGGATAATCGCGAAGCTCCATGCCGAGAAGCCCCCGAAAGAGGTTACGGAAGAGGTGAAGAAAGTACTCTCTTGAAGAGACCTCGTTGCAGATGAGATTCTATGGGTGGTCTCATGAATGTTGCTTCTTTTAACATACAAACAGGGACGAAAGATTTTAGAGTTCTGTCATGTTTTGAGTACATGTCATTGTTATTTTGGCCCATATATCAGGCATTGTTCAAGTACTGATGATGATGATGCTTATACTTGACAACAGTTGTTTTTTGGACAATTTTTCATCTGAAAGGTGTTTATGTTGCTTTGATTACTTATTTTATAATTTAATCAATTTTAATAATTATATTATAATTATTTGAAAAAATTAATAATTATTTTATAATATTTGAAAGGTCATATATTAAATATATATATAATTTATGACATGTGTAACTTACCCAATATAAAATTACTTAAAACATCCTAATATAATGCAAAGTCAACAAATGTTAAATTAACCGAGTGCCAATCTTCAATAAAATGTTAGCTAACGCCCTTAATTTTTATATTGAAATTAATCTAACTTTTAATTTTTTTTTCATTCAAATAAATTTTTATATTAAAAAAACAATGTGATTATTCTTTTTTCGTTCAGTTCTAAGATTTTGTCCTGATTAATCTGGACTGACCTGAGTCACATACTTAATTTTGGTGGGTGAGTCTCCCAACGAGAATTTTATGCATATATAATGACTCAAACATGAAGGTGACTCTTTAATACATTGATTGTTAACTTTTTAAAATAAAATTGAAAAAAAAATATTATATCGTAATATTAAAGGTTTTTAACGTGATAAATAACTTAAAACTATTAACTATTAAAATTGACCAAAATATTTAATTAATATAATTTGTAAATTTGATATTTAAATTGATTTAATATCTTAATATAAGAATTTAATTAGATAAAAAAAATAGAGGTTGAATTATTTTTTATTAAAAATAATAACTCAAATTATGTATTCTCTTTGCTTTAAGTACCTAAAATATCTTTTGGTAAAATTAATCCCTTAAACTATTATATTTAATCATTTTAAGTCCTATCATTTTTTATTTAGAAAAATATTTTTTGACCAATAAGATGGTGACACGTCATATAAAATTAGGTATTTGTTTTGATTAAAAAATAGTTTAAGGGCTTACATTAAAAAAGAGTCATAGTTTAGGGATTTATTTTGATCAAAAAATAGTTTAGGTACTTAAAGTGGTTACATATAATAGTTTAAGGACTTAGTTTTGGTAAAAAAAATAGTTCATGTACTTAAAACAAAAGAAATGGCATAGTTTGAGTATTTTTTTTAGTTTAGTCTTAATACAAAAATAAGTGTCTAAACTTTGTCTAAAACAACGTTTTAGTACCTAAATTTTTTTTTTGCTAAAAATAGGTGTCTAATGTTTCTAAAGTTATACATTTAGGTACATGCCGTTAAAAATCATCATTAATTGATCGTTATGTGACACATGTCATGTTTGATAATTTTAAGAATTTATTTAAAAATAAAAATTATTTTTGTAAAGAAAAAAAAGGAACAATGCCACCCACGTGCTCCCTTTCCCCCTTCCCCTGCCCTGCAATAGGTCGTTGGCTGGTCGGTGGTGATCATCACCGCCACTATAATCAGCACCGGCGTTGACCTTCGATCAAACTCCCGGTGACCTTTTGCCGTAAGCTGTCACCATTTGTTGTGGAGAAGCGTTTGAAGTTTCGTCGGATTTTAAGCCACCGTTGCTATTTTTCGTCGATTCTAATCGATCTCGATGTCCATATGCCACGCCGTCACCACCATTCAAACCACCGTCCAGTTCCGCTCAAAACCTATCCTTGCAGTCATTCCGTCAGTGCTCTTCTGATGTTCCACCATGGTAACGAGGTTGAAATGAGATATTTTAGTTTTTTATAATTTCATCAAAAGTTTGGGAGTTCTTTTGTAAATAAATTAACTTTTTAATTTTTTTTTATTTTTTCGTTAAAATATAATATTTTATTATTACAAAAATTTTGGAGGTAAAGTTAGATGCATTTATTTTTGTATTAAGCCTTTAGTTTAAGCCCCTCTTTTTCCTCTGCAAAAGTTTAGGGACATTTTATGCTTAAATCTTGATATAAACTCGGCCTCACAGAATCAAAACTCAAAAGTAGAACAATCAAATTCCTCTTAGCTAGCTTTCTCTCCTACCAAACATTTTCCATCTTCCACTCCTTCCACCGCCACCAACCGTCGTCTGACTTCTCCAGCGTAATCGTTTACAAAAGTAATCGCCTTTTGATTCACTTCCTCTTCATCTACCTCCACATACACACCTCGTCACCGTCATCATGTTCTTCCTCGACATATGATATTTGATTCACTGATGTTCTTAGCTGAATCGCGATTTGCTTCATTGATCCGATTCTTTCAGTATGCATTTTTTATTTATTGTGTTTAAAGTTAGATTACTTTGTGCTTCTATATAAGTTGAAATGTATGGCCATCGTTTAAAAAAAAAACAAGTTCCTCTATTCTGACGCCGGTAGGATTAAGGATTTTAGCTTCAAAATCAATTTCTGGGGAAATATATTTATTGAATAACAAGTGTTTCTCTCTTTGTCTTTTAGTTTTAGGTTTTTATAAATAATATATATAGCTGGGATTTGATCATATGTCTAGCAATCAAAGGTGTTTTCTTCCAGTTCTATGATCTGTTTTTACAGGGATGGTCGCCGCCTGAAAATTTCAAATTCGTATAAAAGTTTAGAAACAAAATTAGATTATCAATAGAAAATATGGAGAAAATAATTAAATTGTATGAAAATCTAAAATTCCCAGGGACACCCCCTTGGTCCATCCCTGCGATGCACTCTCGGTGCTACTAACAAAGGCTAAAAACAAGTACTGTGAGTTAGGGAGAAAATATGATTAATGATTTACACAGGACTTGCCTGATGTTGTGGCGATTTAATTTAAGCATGAAGATTTCCTTTTTAATAACATTGATAACTACGTAGTTCTTCATGATGTTACAATTTTCCAAGGATTGTTTTTTGTTCTGATAGCATTCTCACTGATTTTCAGAAAATCGAGTATTGTTGGTGAAAGCGTCGAGAATCATTCAAGCTGATAGCGCAGCTATTAGTATATGAGCTTGTGTAGCATCTTTTAACCAAGCAGAGTCAAATGATTTTCAGATTCTGATTTCCAGTGGCATGGGGTGTGTGATGCAATACGCCAGGCTGAATAGGAAGCCGGGTGTAATTGGTTTTGCTTGCCGAGTACCGTTCGGAATTTTAACATAGCTTCTATAGCTATATGTTTGGCTGTAGTTTCAAATGATCAATACAGCCTTTGATGATTTATAATAATTTGAAATTTGATGATCCATAATAATTCTTCTCCAACTTATAGGCTTTCAACCATTGCAGAGCTAATTTCTGCATCGTTTGTAACAAATGGCTTCTTTTTCCTAGCATTCCTAAACAGTCCAGTTGGGCCAAAAACAACTCACTTTGAGGGCCTGTTGCAAACTGGGGATTTGTTATCGCTGTATGTGTAACCACCATCCCTTTAAGTTAGCTTTTTAATATGTTCAGTTGCTCACCCTTCGGACAAAGTTACGCCGGATCGAAGAAACACACAACTTTTGCTTTATGACTCGTGTCTGAATATTGCGAATGAATGTGTCAGGGATTGGTGGACATGAAGAAGCCCCCAGAAATGATTTCTGGCAACATGACATCAGGTAAAAAAATATAATTCAAAGAAGCTACCGATTTTTCTTGCCATTTATTGCCTGCCCAAGATTCTAATTATTCCCTTCAATTCCAGTGCTTAGCAATGTGGTCTATTCGGCATTGTTCATGAGGTTTGCATGGATGGTACAACCACGAAACTGTCTGCTGCTAGCATGCCATGCTTCGAATGAGACAATACAGCTCTACCATTGGGCAAGAGGTCAAGGGTAAGCAAGGTCTTCATGATTCACATTGAGCCTATGACAAACGTCAGTTATTGGTACATGTTTGGTATGCTCAACTTTTTCCCAAGATTTTCCATACGTATCGAGGATCTTACCCTCATGCCTATGATACAATATGTGCTGCATACGGGTTTCGAATACAGGTATGTTAGGGAAAACGAAAAGTAGGAGCAATATAGCATCGAGCTTATTTCTTTTCTATGCAATTGCTATTGAGTTTGCAATCATTTTTTTGGGTATCTGCATACCCTTTCACTGGCTAATGCTGACTTATGCTTACCAGTTACCATCTTAGGGATTGATTCAGATTGTTACTGTCAAAGTAGCAATGATTTATGACAATGCATCTGTTTTAACGTGTAATTTTCCAATATTAGAGGAAAGAGAACTCTGATATTATATTCCTGATTTTATAAACAAAATGTGGTTTTGCCTTAGAGAAAGCATGGTGAGTTGTAGACATTTTAGTCGATGTTTCCATAGTAGTCGGCGTCTTTTTCTTGTATGGTTGCTATTGTTATCAGTTAAAACGCACAGATCCTTATGGAGAAACACGTGTTTTGCTCGATCTAACATACGATGACCCTGAAGAATGCATTCTGGACTTACCCTATAAGCCTTCTTGTTTTGAGTGAATTCTTATCTCGTTTTCTGGATCTTGATTTTGCAATCACTGGGGCATCAGATTATGTTTCTTTTAATAAATTTTGAATTAATTTGATTATCATGAATGTGTATATTTTCACTTATATCATGTATTTAAGATGTAGTTGTGATTGCATTACGTTTAATGTGATTGGAAACATAATAAATGTTATTGTATTGTGATTGGAAACATAATAAATGTTATTGTAATCATACAATAACGGTGTCGGATGGTACAATTAGTGTTTTTACGATAGTTAAGCTGTCCAGACTCAACTTCACTTGAAATAACTAGAGATTTAAACTGTTGTTGCAGTCGTGTTATGTTTGTCGCAATTGCAAACATAACAAGTGCTATTTTGATCGTTATAAGTACCACGGTAACGAAGTTAAATAATGACCGTTATTAGCAAACTATACATGTTTATAACATTGAATAATTACAAGGTATAATTTTTTTATTCAATTTAATTCAAAAAAATAAATTTGAATGATAAAAGTAAAATTAATTATATTACTAATCTTCAAATTATTATTATTATTTAAAACGTTTTTAACTTTTTAAATATTTTAATTTTATATCTACATAATAGTTTATTCTAATTAATCCCTAAATTTTTTAACATTCTAGATTCATCCACAAAATATAACTTTCATTCTAAGAACATTTAAATATTCCAATTTCATCCCCAACCTTTTGAATGATTTTAGGAATATTTAAAAGGTTGGGAACAAATTGATGATGTTCAAAAGTTTAAGAATCAATTCACAATGAGAATCTCAATTTGATGATCAAATTGGAATGTTCAAAAGTTTAAGAACCAATTTAGAATGGTGGTCATAATTTAGGAATATGTGGTGTGGTTAACTAGATAAAAATGATATCAACTTCATCCCTACACACTAATCTAACATTATCATTCCACTTCCAGACTTTAACAAGTTAACCGGTCCATTTTCCCGGGTTACTAAATTAATACAATTGGAATTCTTGTCTATCAAACCCTACCATAATGCAGTACATACCTTTGCTCAAGTTTTAAACAATCTTTCCCCATGCTTCTTCGCCGTGCCATCCTCATCATAATGTGTACTTTTGAGGTCTGAAATCAGAGCTTTTCGGTGCAAGGTTATGCATCATCATCGCTAATGTCATGTTCCTGACTTTTGCTTCTTTTCTTGGATTGACTTCTTCGTTCCCTCTTTTTCTCTAGATTCCTTCTTTTTCTTTATTCGCTCTTTGTTTTCTTTAGACGACGACTTCTTTCTTTTTGTAGGTGGTTTTTCGGTTTCGTCTGCAATTTGGACTTCATCTATGCTAGGAGCATCAGGTGCAGCCACGTCGTGTTTAACTTCTGCATATAAGAGAATTACGTTCAAAATTAGCAACAACATTGACACTGTAAAATTCACATTCGAATGGCTCCAACTTCCCCATACTCCAACTGATTCTCCCATCAATCCCCAAAGGAGAAAGCCTAGATTCATGGGGGTTTACACCTCCATGTAAAGGCATGAATCACATGATTGCAATGTTCTCGAGTTCGCAGCTTATGCTGATGATCCTACACTCTATCCACACCAGAAAGCTACGTTACTCGGATATGTTTGATTTCCTTTTTGAAAGTTTTCCATGAATGTAAAGTGTCTAGAGGATCATATCCCTTAATCATGTCCTAATATTTTTTGAGACAAGGACGCCATACAAGTACTTCAAGGAAAATGAAGAATTGGGGCAATATAGTCTCTGAGGCGGAAAGGGCAACCCCTAATTGTTAACAATAAAGATTCCGGGGGAAGAACTGACCTTCATCGGTAAAATTTGTATCGAAAACAACTTTTGTAAGATGCTGCTTTAGGAAAATCTGCACCCAGAAAATTGGTAGGCAGATAAAGGTGATTTGTTTGCAGTGTATTTTTATGCACAACGTAATTAACCACATCTAAACTCTACTTTTCAAACAGAACATACCGACGATAGAAGCTGCCTTGTTCCGATATCCCAAATGCGCAGATAACTGTCCAAGCCTGGAAAATATTAAATTTTCTCAGTTTTGTTGCATGTATAAAATGACTTGCCCCAAAAATACAACAGCAATACATAAACCTTAAGCAAAATGATTCCAATCTAACAAGCCGAGAAGCTAACAATTGCAAATTCACTCGTGTTTTTAAAAGGCAAGCAAGAAAATATTGGGAGCAAGCATTAATAGTATGACGAGTATGGAAAAACTGAGGAATTAAAAACCAATTTGGAAGTCAAACCGGTTCAATACCTAGTTCAACCAGCAATATCAACAATTAAGAACAATGAATAACTACGAAAATTTCATAAAATCACCACACAAAAAAAAGAAAAAAATAGGGATTAATTATATTAACAACAAAATATGGATGAAAAGGAATATTTTTTTTTCTTTTGCACAAATTAATCAAATTGGATAAAATCAGGTTAAAAGTCGCAAAAACATATTCAACAATTTAGGTTGACTGGTTCAATATTTGAATCATTGGACTTAACGGTACGGTTCCTGGTTGAACCAACCGGACCGGGATTTTAATCACTTCAGAATCATTTGAGACACATTAGAAATTCTTTTTCCATCCTATCCTGGCTCTTCAAGCAACAAAATCATCTCCAAGTCCCAAAAAATAGCTTCCCAATACAAAAGGGAAGAATGCGTGCAAACACAGGTTATAAAAGTACTTGCTTTTACAAACACTACGGCATATGCTCACCACAAGATGCTATCATGGGAAGTTCAGGGTGCCGGGCAATGGATCGGATGCTTCCAGAACACTTCCCCAAAAAGCATCCTAATAATTTACCTATAAGGAAAAACTTTCATCGTTAATCGAAATTCAAGGAAAAATAAACCTCAAATCATTTAAGAAAAGCCTCAGTGGTTTCTACTTATTTCAGATACTCTACAGGAAACCAATACGTCCAACCTATGTTTTCTTTAGTTCCATAACCTGTCTCAAATTTTGGCAGAATCATCAAAGAAAAGGGATTGAAACATCAAGTACATACAGATAGTTGAATCACACGATTTGAACTAGCAAATATGTAATAGTTGAACCACGTAATTTCAACTAACAAATATGTAACTGAATTTCTTGCCAAGGCATTAGGATACATTGCACATGAATATAATCTGTTACACAGAGAACTCAAAGAACACTTTAAACCTAGCCAACTTAAATTTCTTCACAGTAATGAGTAATGACTGAGCTACCAATAACCGGAAATGCAGAAATGGCATAAAGAATTATAGAACAAGCACATAGAATCAATCACATACCTGTGCGTATATCCACCGAAGCAAGGTCACCAGATCCATTCCCTATATAGATTGTATGACCATCTGTGTCTTCTGCAACAGCTTTTATAGGTGTATCCCTGAAGTCAAATGATATAACTGGTCTCCGTTGGGCAGAAACATCATAAAGGCGAACCTGTAACAGAAATGGTTAAAATACAATATGGTAGATGCTACTGATAAGGATGAAATGCATTGCTACAACTCAATCTCGTATTCCCGACATATTCATAATTCCTAATAAAATTGATAAAAAAAACGTGCTTTTTCCTGTTCTTGAGAATTCAATAAGGTCTAGTCCATGAATCACACAAACATGAAGCTAGAACTACACTGTCTAGAAATTACATTTTCAAAAGTTTAACTGAAATCAACTAGTAAATATCTTGAAACTGACATGCCTTCTTATTACAGAATAACTAAATAATTCTAGAAACTGGCAATAGACAATCAAATATAACGTTCCTTCAAAGAAGAGGGAAAAAGGAAAAAAATATGTCTGTACAAGCAAAGGTATATTAATATGTTAGTATCATGTTCAAGGAGTGGCTGATCACTAATTTGCTACAAAAGATTACCTGATGGTTATTGCTACCAGCCACAACTTTACGGTGATCATCTTTGCTGAGGAATGTTGCAGATGTAAACCAAGTAGGGGTAAAAATACCAAGGCTGTTTCTAGGAGGCTGTTCAATATGGGATGCATCAGGAGAAATGAAAACACAGCAGATACTAAAACGTAAATATTTTAAAATCAGAGAGGTTGAGAAGGCTCACAGGCTTTGCAGTCCAAATCTTTGTACATTTTTCAAGATCCCACATATTAACTTCAACACCCTTCCTGAATTAGGAAAATAATAAATATTCCAGTCAAGCATCAAAATACTCCATCAGCAAATGCAGAAAAATCAAGTAGGAGGCTCATGTATACGGTCATACAACACAAACACACTCACCCTCCAAATAAGGCATAACTTTCACTTCCATCCACTTCCGAAAATGATATATTTCCTGATGCACATACATTCCATGTTTTCGGGGCACCAGAATCCACTTTAGTATCAACCATATCAACTGTTTTTATGCTTGCATGTCCTTTTGTCGTACATGCAAGCAAAGTGCATGACCTGAAAAAATTGTTATAGACATCAAAAAGGTTATGCAAATAAAGGAATTATGACTACCAAGATCCATCTATTTCAGTAATTATATTAAATTACATAAATATGAAAGCAGAGGAACCTTGTTCATTTTCCTATGTTACTAAGACTTGGGTGTGAGAGTCAACTACAAGAATGCCTTCAACATGGACATAATCAATTTTTCTAAGTTT